GCAGGTGGGGAAAGTACCTTGAGTTGTGTCAAGGCATTGTGAGATGTTTGTATGCCAGGTTTTGTCTACTTCCTTGAGGCATAAAAGCACCTTTCCTTTGCAAAGACAATGGAAATCCACCTTTTCTTCTGCATGGGTGTGTAAAAAAATAAAAACTGGTGCCAGTGCCTGGTTGGGTGTGATTCCCAGGAGGGTGCCCTGCGCCTTGGGGGACTGAGTCCTGCTGGGACCGTGGTGCCACGAGAGCCAGACGTGGGGTGCTGGGACCTGCTCCTGCTCCAGGGCTCTGGAGCACAGAGCTGGTGCCTGTGTCTCCTCCTCGGGGGAGACCTGGGTGCATCTCTGCTACCCCTGCCTGCTGGCATCAGGATAGACTGGTCGGTGTGGGGCTGGGACAGCCAAGGGACCCCAAGCACCACTGAACCCCCACCTTCAGGGCAGCTGCAGGACTGGCTGTGCCTTGGGGTGTGCAGGCACAGGGACCTTCTGTGCTCCCCCTAAAAAGCTTCACTCCTGCACGCTCTCAGCCTCTTCTGAGCATTCTCATAGTTTCTTGCAACCATGGGGAACATCCTCCCCCAGAGTGATGGGGTCCTACCCACTGGTGCGGTGCCAGTGGGCAAGGAGGGAAGAGGCAGGCAGGAGGCAGGAGGCAGGCAGGAGGCAGGCAGGAGGAGGCAGGACCCGCTGTGCAGGCAGTGCCAGGAGCTGCTCCATACTGTTCCCACCCGGGTGTTTTGCAACCCAGTGGCTTCGGTGTGAGTCAGCCCCCCCAGCCCTGTGCCGAGCTCCGTCATTCAGAGGAAGCGGATTTTCCAGAGAAGAGGATGCCGGAGCCTCCACTGGCGATGATGCTGCTGCTCCCTGTGCGTGGGAGCTGGAGAAGCTGGAGTCGAGGTGACGACTCTCTGGCTCAGCTCTGATTCACTGCCTGGATGCCCCCTGCCCACGGGGGAGCCGTGCGCCATAAAAGCCTCTTGGCTTGTGAGGGAACCACCTCTTTGCCAGCCCTCCCGGCTCCGAGCCCCTCTGTGTCCTCCTGGAGAGCCCTCCTGAGCTCCCCTGTGCAGAACAGAGGTGCAGATTAACACCATGGAGTAATTAATCCCGTACAAGATGGCATTTAGGTTTTGATGCTTTAGAAATGACATCCTGTGGCAGCGGTGGCTTCTGGAGTGCGTGCAGTTGGAGGGTGATGACTTCACTGCTTACCGAAGCAGGGAGAATCCTCCTGCTGTGACACAAGCACCAATTCGGTGTCCAGCCCAAAGGAAATAATGGTATTTTCCAGGGCTGTGAATTAACATTCTGGTCATAAGCTCTTATTTTTTAGCAAAGATACACGGCAACTGTGCCATCTCCTGTTGGCTATGGTGTTTTGGAGCCTTTTCTTCTCATAAACACCCTTATCTATCACTTCAAAGTGACACTGTAGCATCATTTTCCTGCATATGAGGCATTCATGCTCTGAAACCCCAGACCAGCTCTTTTCTGTGGAAACCATCATAACCCAATGATAAATCTCACCGCTTTATAGCTCTTCACTCACATTTAACGTGCTTTATAGCCCAGGTTTTCCTTGGACAGCCCCAGATGAAATACGCTTCATCCGTGCCCGTGGTCCAGCCCCGTCCCGAGCCCTCTGTGGGGGCTGGCAGAGCGTTGCCCCCCCAGGCACCGTGGCAGTCGCCCTCCTAATTCCCTGGGGGAGGCTGGATGGGTCCGTCTGCCCATGGGCAAGGCTGGGCCACCTCTGTCCCAGGGCTACTGGTCCCTGTGCCCTGCCAGGCTCCCCTGGGAGGGGGGTTTCCCCACACTAGTGGGGTGTGTTGGCACTGCACCAGAGCCAGTTGGTTCTGGCACCAACCAGCCATCCTTCTACTGAAATTTTTCTGTTCATGCAGAAAAGTCTTTTTTCTTCCTGCTCATGGCCTGTTTCCCCCAGCAGAGCTGCTGCCAGCCTCCCATGTCCCCCCTTGTGCCATCCCGGGGCAGGTGGGCTGCCTGGGGAGGGGGAGGCTTTGCTTTGCCCGGGGCCAGCAGGCGCCTCGTGCTCCGGTGCTTGCCCGAGGGTGCCAGGTCCCCGGGTGCCCCCCAGGAGCCGAGCCGCCCGCTTGCCAAGGAGAGTCTGTACCTCTGGGCAAAACAGGAGCGTGGCTCGGCTCCACAGTCAATTTTTAACTCGCCCCATTGCTCAATGGCGTGGAAGGGAAACTTGCCCGGGAGGTGTAGGTGCCGCTGACCGGAGCGCCCTGTCCCCCCGCACACAAACACGGCCCGGACAGGGCCCTGCTGTGGACTCTGCTCCCGTCGGGTGCCTTTGCTTTCACCACAGATTGGAAGGTCACGGAACTGGCTGTTCAGAGCCTGGGGAACATTCCCAGCTCCCAAACGCCGTGGGCAGGCGGATCTTGTTGCAGCCCTGGCTTCCCATCAGGAGGGTGGCAGGAGTAGCTTTTTTGAGAGCTGGGGATGGCTGTTTGACGGGGGGGCAGATTGTGGGTCCTCTGTGCTGTCTGCTGTGACTGACCCCCTGTGCTCTGGGCTGTTTCTTTCTGGGACCCTGCGAGCTGCTCCCCGCCTTCACACCAGAGACTGTGCAAAAAAGTCTTCTGCTTCATTCCGTCCTGGTTTTCCATGGTTTCTCCCAATGGCCTGTGGGTGGGAGCCCCCCAGCACGCTCCGGGGCACGGCCACCTGAGCTGGGGGTGCAGAGTCAACCCCTCTGCTCTCCTCCCATCTATGGCAGAGCGTTAGAAAAGCTAGATAAAATTAGCTGTTCGGACGCATGTTCCTCAGGATGCCGGGACAGAGGGACACCCAGTACAGCCAGCTTGACTCATGGAGAAGAATTAATGGAAACGCCCGGCTCCTGCAGGGAGGAAATACCTTGAACAGGCTTTTCCTCCGTTTGTTGGGTGGGGAGGCTGACAATGGGCCCCGCGCCGGGCGGCAGCGCGGCCGGACCCTCCGTCACCGCGGCGCACGCCGACAGACACCGCGTCGCGGCAGCGAGCGCTCAGGAAGGGCCCGGCACAATGCGGTGACCTGCCCTCCCCGCTCCCCCTCTGCCCCGGCACCCCCCGACAAACCCCCTGGCGCCGGCCCGACGGGTGCCCCCAGCCCCGGGCAGAGGCAGCAGCAGCAGGGCATGAGGAGCCAGCCATGGCTGGGTGTTTGTGCCTCCAACCCTCATAACGAACGATTAATTGCGCTTTATCCCCTGCCCACCGCGAGACCTGCTGCAGCTCACCACAAACCTGCCAAAACGGCACACAGTTTTTAACCGAGGAGTGTTGTCCTTTTCCGCTGTAAAAACCCAACACACAACTTTTTTGTCAGTTGCCTTTATTTATCAGGGATGCCACCCGGGCCAATAATTTAAATATAATGGGACAAGCGGGACTATAAAGTCCCCGGGTCACAAGATCTTATCAATCACGTTATGCAAATGTCTGTGAGCAGAATGTCTGGGCAATCTGGGACGTGCCGCAGTCGCCGGTCGGTGTTTCGTGCTGCCCCCGACCCGCTCTCTGCCGGGGGAGAAAGCGGCAGAGGATGCACCAGGGTCCCCGTGGCTGGCAGCGCTGGGCTAGAGGTGGCCACGGGGAAGCGGAGGGACTGTGGCCCAGCCAGGGTGCTGCTGTCCCCACACGGGCTGGGCACGGGGATGTCTCCCTCATGGGAATGGGGTGGCCGCAGCCCTGGGCGGGACTGTCCCCCCCGTCCAGACCTGTGCCTGGTGTGGGGCAGGATCTGGATGAGGGTCCCAAGAGCATCCTCCTGCAGCCAGGGCTGTCAGGGTCCCGTGGTGTGACCCACCCCCAGGGGTTGGTGGCTGCTGGTGTCTGGTTTGTGTTTGTGACACAAGAGGTGTCTCTGATGGGAAAACCCACGGGAGCCGGGGGAAGAAGCTGCGTCCCAAAGGCCTGGAGCGGTCGGGGGGGGGCGGCGGGGGGGGACAATGAGGTGGTGTCCAGGGCCGCCGGTGGCCGCTCGACAGCCCCATTTGGCCTTTTTTGGAAACAATCCATTTGAGGCACTTTGTGTCACTCTGGCTGGTTTTGAGGGATGTGTCATGAGCGGGTGAAGCTGGAGCTGAGCGCAGGACACCGGGACAGGGCGAACGCTGGAAAAGTGGCCACTGCCTCTGGAGCAGATCCCACATGGGGACAGGTTTTCCTGGGGGGGGACAGTTCTGAGAGGCCTTTGGAGGTCCCTTTGGAAAGGTCCATCCCGACCCAGGTGGGACCCCCCTCCTTCCAGCCTTCCCGGGAGAAGTGGTAATTCCCTGATAGGTGATTTGGAGATTTTACCGTAGGCAAAACAACCACAGATGGTCCATCATTCCTCTGAATTGTTTTATCTTTGTTGCTCTAAGCAGAGTCATGGGAATGTTTTTTTCTAAGCCAGCAGGTTATTAGAGGACAGACTTATAAATAACTGGTCTTGGCTATTTTTAAGTATTTTCAACATAGTCTATCATGATAGTAGGGCATAATCTGCAGAAAAACGGAGCCCAATCCTGCTGCCAAAGCGTTCATAACTCACTTCTGTTTCTCTGGAGGACGGGGAGCCGAGGCCGGGCTCTGCAGGAATGCCGAGAGCCCGAGGCACCGCGCCGCTCGCTGGGGCTCGGGACTGGGCGGTTTCTAAACCCGTTTTTCTGTTTGACTATTGCAAAAGATGTAATTCTCCTTTATTACAGAGGAGAAACTAACTTCGGAGTTAGTTGCAATTGCATTGTGGGTTGCAATTAAATTTGGTGGGGTCTTTCTGGGGATGCTAGAGCCCCCACAGGGTCCAGTTGGTGCCCCCGGGCTGGGTGGTGGGACTCGGGGATGCCGGGGATGCTGCCGGCACCGGGCAACGACTGACACCGAGGAGCTGGGGAGAGCTGCGGGCAGCCTGCTCTTGAAACAGAGTCTCTATGAAATGGCCAAAAAAAAAAAGTATAACCCCACTCCTCCAGGAGAATTGAGCATTTCAGACAAGAGAAATTAAATTTACTTCATAATTTATTAAATTTCAATCGCCATATGCAATAAATTATAGTCAATGTAATAATAACATTGTCATAAAATATTTCCATGAAGTACTCGGCTAAAAGCTATTGTAATCTATACAAATAAGAACTGTAGTTATGATATTTAGATTTTTTTTTTGTGTTAATGGGAAGTGAACAAAATATTAAGGAACTTCACAGTAAATTCAGGGAAATTTGTCATTATTATTGCTTCTGTGCAAACAGCTTACACTGCCCACATACGGCTGGAGAAAGAGAAGGTACAGATGGGCAGTGTGTCCCTGGTGCATTCCCTGGAGCTGAGCTGAGCTGCACCCACACGGTGCGCTTTGGGGCATTTTAACAAATGCAAAGAGATCCGTGACCAGAAGCTGATCAGTCCCTGGAACCTCCCTCCCGGCCCAGGGCTGAGTGAGGGCTCGCAGAGTGCAGAGGTGAAGTCCGTCAACACCGAGTCCCTCAGGAGGTCCCGAGTCGTGCCCAGGCACGGGGACCCCCACGGCTGGGTCCCACAGCCACCGGGGAGCCTGGCTGCCCCTGCCCGGGGGCTGCCCCTGCTCTGGGAGCCTCTGGCTGCTGATGCTGCCGGTGCTGCCGTCGGAGCTGGAGCTGCCATCGCTGCCGCGGTTCACACCGTGCGGAGGGTCCGAGGTCCTCTCGTGTCCCCAGTCCTGCCAGCAGCTCTCGGGGCAGCGGAGCCCTTGTGTGGCAGGAGGTCACAAACAGTCCCGTCCCGAAATGCTCTCCTCCATTCCTGCTGCCGGCTCAGTGCACTTTAATGGAGTATTTCCGAAATGTCAGGAACTGCAGCAGCTTGTCTTTTCGCCGCTGCTTTAGCGCCATCAGCGCCCTCGTTTTCTCCTCCAAGTCCTGGTCGGTGGCGAGGATGATCTTGGCTCTTTCCTCCGCCTTCTTGTCCCCAGAGTTTTTGAAGAGTTTCTGTAGGGACTCTTCGTTGATGCTTTCGAAGATGTTGGCCACGGCTTTCTTGCGCAGGGCTGTGTCGAAGCGGTAGCCGTGGACCGAGGGGCTGACTCGCAGGGAGGTGGACATGGCTGGAGTCTTGTGGCTCCTCTTTGCTTTCATCGATGTGAGGAGCTGCCGGGAGTGCCCTGGGGTCGGTCAGAGCGATGGGTGCTGCCCGGTGCTGGGGCTGGTATTTAAAGGCAGTCTGGAGAAAAATGCCGAGAGCTCAAGTTACAGTGATGAGATCACCGTGATGTCAACGGAGCACTCACAGGCCGGTTTAACAGTTGAGTTGCCAACTTTCCTCTGCCGGGCAGCCAAGGAGAAAAGTTTTCTGTGTTTCTGTGATGGGGATGGTTTTTCTTTGCCCCAGCCCAGAGTGGGCTTCACACAACCTCGAGCATTGCTGTGGGACTTTGAGTGAGTGCAGCTCAAAACTCCGCTCCTGGGCTTTTGTCACACACAGAAAAGCTCTGCATTGCAAATATACTGTCTATAACACAACAAAGAGTTAAAATTCCAGGTGAGAACTATTGCAGTTCCAGCAAGAGGTGTTATCTGTGAGCCTGTTCAGAAGACCAGCATTTTCTGTGTCTCGCTCAGAAACACAACACCACCATGGAACCTGCCCGGGTCCAGGTGTGGGATGGTCCCAGGTGATACAGGTCACATTTAGGGCTCACAATGCTATATTTTCCAGTTGGCAAGTGGTTTCCCAAAGGCAGCTGATCCATCATGGCTTCTGAGGTGACCTCCCTGGGTGCCACAGCCCAGAGCTGCCCATGGCGATGCTCTGACCTGGACAGGAGGTGACATCCCTCTGCCCCGCGGTGCCTGCAGCGCTGCAGCAGCAGCACCCGGCAGTTTGTTGCCCTGCTTCCGCCTTGCGAATCCTTTTTCTTTAATTTCCAGCTCAGTTGCTCTGCTCCAAAAGGGTTTGTCCTCTCCACCCCACCCAAGGCAATGCCAAGCCCTTGGGCTGGGAGGACTCGCTCTTACTCATAGGGCTTAGTGTGAGGCTGTCCTGCGAGGAGCAGGGAGTTGGGCTCCATGAGCCCTGTGGGTCCCTTCCAACATGAGATGCTCTGTGATTCTGTGCCTCCCCCTCGCTGAGGATGTGGACAGGGCATGGCTGCCTGCGAGGGGCTGGCTGTGACCACTGGAGCACCCTCCTGGGCTTAGAAATCTGTTATGACTGAGCACAGCTCAATCTGGCCCAGAATGGCAATGGGTTCAAAGTCACTTGAGTCCAGGGATCCAGAGATAAGTGTATTTTGGTTAATGGCTCAAAAGCTGCCGGACGCCGCAGAGGGACTGTTTGGGAAACTAGCTGCTTGTTTACTGGTTGTGCTGGTGACCCCTATTACTCATCCTTACTGAAGAAGTCCAGAAACAGCCTCTGTCCCCATGCTGGCCGGAGCAGCGGCCCCAGGGGGTTTCCCCCACTTACTGGAGAGCCGTGGAGGTGATCTCCAACCCCAGTAACGAGCAGACCCAAAGTAACCTCACCCAGTTTCTTGTCACGCCACATTCCCTTTAAAACTCCTGTTCCTCGGGACAGAGCAGGGGGATGTGTATGCAAACCCCCTCTCCTGTGGCCAGCGGGAGCCAGGGCAGAGGCAGGAGCCCTCCTGCAGTCCGTGTGCCCGGCGTTTGTGCCGGGAGAACAGGACTCATCGTGAGCTGCTGCTCCCCAGAACCACTGGGCATCCCAGCTCCATCCAGGCTCTCCTGAGCTCCCAGCTGGTGGGGCTTGCCAGGCTTTTATCTGTAGGAGAGGGGGAGTGGGCTGCACATCTGTGTTTGACCACTTTCCTCTCTGGGCCCTGGGGAATCACCCCTGGAGCAGCCGATGCCCCGAATTCACCGCATCCCGCCCCGGGAGTGGCTTTCCCTGCGGCTGCCAGGACTTTGCTCCCCGCTGTTGGTACCAGCACGAGCTCTCCCGGCACGTGCCTGACATTTTTTCCGCCAGTTCCGCGTGGCTGTCATTGTGCGGGTTACTTTTTACAAGTTTGTCTGAATTTCTTTTGTATGTGCTAGCTCTTTCATGCTTTAGTGTATAAACAGCCGCTTTGCAAAACCCTGTGATTCTCCTCCTGCCAGAAAGACTTAAAAGCCTCTCACTTTCCTGAAATCGTGCCGAATTTGTGAGAATTACACATCAGCCGCTGTTTGCTCAACATTTGCAGGGCTGGTAAATCCACCCTGAAAATAGGATCTTTTTGATGTGGCTGGTTCCTGGGTCTCTGCCTGTGAAAAAGCCTCGTGTTTTACAGACTCCCATTAAGACGAATGGGAAGGGGGAGCGGAGGGAGCAGGGACCGTCGCTGGTCCCCTCCTGCTCAGATGGAAAGTGCTCCCTGGGGCACTGTGGGGGGGAAACCCGCCTGTCAAAAATGCCTGAGCAGAACATTAAATGTACTTTGCTTCACTGGACAGATCACAGAATTGTTGGAGTTGGAAGGGACCTTCTAGAGACCATCCAGTCCAACCCCCCTGCCAAAGTAGGGCTGCCCAGAGCACATCACTCAGGAGCATCCAGGTGGGGCTTGAAGATCTCCAGAGAAGGGGACTCCCTGAACTGGGGAGCCCAGAACTGGACGCAGGATTCCAGTTGTGGCCTCCCCAGTGCAGAGCAGAGGGGGAGAATGACCTCCCTCCACCTCCTGGCCACACTCTTCCCTCCGCAGCCCAGGATCCCCTTGGTGATACAGCTGTAGAGCACACAGGGCAAAAAGCAGTGCCAGGAGATGGGCATGGTCTTGTGGGTGCAGAAAATGAGCCCTTCTTCTGCACGGCATGGTCTCCTCGAGTCCAAAACAAGAGCCAAGGCTCATGTGAACATATGCTTGGTTTCACCCCTCTTATTGCACTTGGAATCATGCTGCAGGTCTTTGCAGAGACGTGGCTGAGAGAATAAATTAGCAATATTTGTGGAAGATACAAGCTCAGAAAAGTATCTGCCATGGAAACCGAGAAGGAAGCTGATGCTTTAGGAGTAAGACATCAAAAGCTGCCAGGACGAAGCTTGCGTTGGCTTATGAGCTCATCTCGCACCGAGCACTAACAAATGCCTTTGCCCCTTCAAGCTTCTCTGCCCACTTTGTATAAATTTAGTTGCGTTCAGCTCTGACTGAGAGATGAAACATGCCTCATCTGTTTTTTCCAGTAATTTTTGTTTATATCGGTCTTTTAATAGTGCTTTCCCAGTAATGCCTAGGAGGAATTATTCATGTGTTGGATTGGAACGAAACTTCAGACAAGATGTGATTTCTATCATAACTCTCCTGCTATTATTGTATAATTGCTTCGCAAAACGCAAACGCTCTGTTTCACACATTAATGGGAGGATTAATTCCTATCCCCGCCGTCTCTGCAGAGCGGCTCAGCCACATCCCTAATTGCTCTCCACTTCTGAGGACGTGATGGCTTTGGAGGGCTCTGGCCGGGGGGGTTCTGCTGCCGGGAGACAGGCAGGGTTTGTGCCGCGCTTTCGGGTGCGGGGACCCTTCTGTGGCACCCGGCAGCGCCGCCGGCCCCACACCCCGCTGGCATCTCCTGCCAGGTCCTGGCAACTAAGGTTTGGAAGCCGAAGTGCTTATGATTTATTGTAGGCTAAACCGAGCCTCCGGGTCTGGCAATCAAGGAAGTGGTTGCTGGAGGGCAAGGTTTGGGAAGGATGGTGACTCCGTGGCCAGGTCCACGCTCCGCTGGCAGCACCAAACCTGTTTAAATAGACCCAGAGTCATCTCGGGCTCAGGGTGGGGAAGAGCCGGAGGATCCTGCCTGCCCCAGTGCAGGGATGCAGGCGAGGGGCAGGTAAAGCCACACGTGTCCCAGCTGGGAAAGCCCCCGGCCCCTGCGGGGAAGCCCCGGGAGCAGGAGGTGGTGAGGAGGCCACGGGTGGCTGGAGAGCTGGTGCCTTTCCCGCAAACTCCTGCAGAGAACTTAGTCTGCATTTATGTAACTGTCCAAATTGGCTCCAAAGAAGGTAATCTGGGATGCCTGTGCGTTTTGCTGGGGCATGTTCTGCATAGCTTTCCTTTCGCTGGCCTGCCTCAGCCTGCTGGGCTCTGGTACCGCCTCGGTGCTGGGAGATGCAGCAGTGCCCGGGGACAGCAGTGGTGCTGCAGAGACCTTCCAGCCCTATACAAAATGTCCGGAAACTGAGCCTTTGGGAGGGCATCTAGAAGGCTTTGGGACAGGAGAGGAAAGTGGAATGATTGCTTTAACAATATGTATACATGCTTTGCCTTTATGTATATAGAACCTGAGAATCTGCAGTGCCCAATATACATGTTTTGACTTTAACGTATATAGAACCTGAGAATCTGCAGTGCCCAGGAGCCTCAGACCGTCTCTTCCCTCCCCGTGTGTTCCCTCCACGTGTGCCCACCTCTGACTCACTCGCAGCCTTCCCTGCTTCTGCTGCCAGGGAGGGTGGAGAACCCCTGGCCTTCTCAGGAGCCATAAACGCTGCTCCTTCTGTTTGCTCTCTGCTGGGAAATATTTCGGAGACGGAGAGCTCTGCAGCTGCGGGACGGCTGTAAGGTCAGAGAGGAACCGGCTCATCGTGTTCCTCGTGGAATCCAGATTCCTGGGAATTTGTCAGACATCCAGGTCGTGCGAATGGCAGCGCCTGCCCCTGCTCTCCCTGCCCACGGCTCCTTCCAGCTGCGGCTCCTGGGCCTCTTTCTGTCCCGCACGGGCTCCACCGTGTTTCTCTTTGTTTGGGGTTTTCTGGTGGTTGGGGTTTTCTGTGGCTGCTGTTTCTTCAGCAGAGCATCTGGGAACACTCATCCCACCTCTCAAGGAGGACACTCTGTGCCCTTTGTCTACAAAGTCCAAGAACTTGGCCGTGGACATTCCCTGTGACCTGTCCTGTGGTCCCAGCTCCGACGTGCAGCTCAGAGGGAGGTACTTTACAGCAGTTCTGCTGCAGCTCAGTTTCTGGGAAGTAAAGACATTTCTCAGGCAATCCTGCTCACCAGCTGCCTGCCTAAAAAGCAGAAAAAAAAGGTGTTGGTTTTCAGACAACAGGAGACAATTAAGCTGGTTAAATTCCATCAGAAGAGTTTTTAATAGGGGAAAAAAATTGCACCGTGTCTTTTTAATACTTTTCTTTATCCTACCTATGAAAACTAAATTAGATGCTGGCTCCTGGGCTGCAGAGACA